TGTTNATGTATGGCGTGAGAATTTAATCTATATTGGTTCTATCCCTACACAAATCCAACACCAGTAATAAATTGATGGTGATCTTACACCAACACTCCTTATGCCCAAAATCTATGCGGCGCCAGGTGTGATGCGATCATAACCCATCAGGCGCCCATATGTATTCACTAATGCAAAATATTGCCAAAAAAATATAGTACTCAGATAGGACCACCGATAAACCAAAACTGCTGGGACATGCAATGTCACAACTCCGAGAAGATTGAAAAAGTCATTCAGAACTAGGGAACGCTGTGCTGCTGCTCACTCCAGCTAGTCACAAGAGCCTTGATTAGCGCGACGGCAACCTCCTTGCCCGTCTCTATATCCTCATCCAAGCATGACGCGGGAACATGGAAGAAGGTGACATTGCGATCCTCACCCGCCTGGTATGCCAGTGCCAAGCTGGTGTACAGGATGAACTCGCAGAGATAACGTCCGGCATCAGTGGAGATCCGCGCATCGGTTTCTGGAGGGCAAAATGTCTTCCATGCTGCTAGGAAATCTTCGTCCGGTGGACGGGGGCTGAGATGTTTCTTCTCCGAGGCGTGTCCCTCTGAAGGGCCAGCCCTAAGCACCAGTGGCAAGTCGAGCTCCCTCCACAGCTTCTCGCCATCCTCGTACCCGGATCTGCCTTTGATGTCGGACATCAGATACCCATCACGGTGAGCCTGCGTCTCCACGGAATAGTAGTTCCTCATTGCTGCTATGCCAATGTGTATGACGATGTCTGGGCGTCGGCCTCCGTGCGTCTTGGCATAGTCATCGAGAATGACGGGGAGGGTCGTCCGCACCGATGAATATGCAACGGGTATGGGTGAAGGATGGACATTTATCGAAACTCGACGGGGAACAGCATCAGAGCCGTCTGAAGATGCAGGTGAGAATGTGAAAGAGGGTGGTAGGGACGAGGCTATCAGATATGAGGCGTTCACTAGATTAGACTTGAATGGCTGTAGAACATGTGAGTTGCGATATTGGGAGAATGGTATGGACACTGGAAGCTTACCCCAAAGCCCGTTACAAGTACTGAGATCTCATCCTGATCTGTTTCAGAGACAGGCGGATTTCCAGGTAGCTGTGCCGTGAGTGACGACACTCCGGGGCCGTAATCTCCCATGATAAGCAACTAGCTATCCCTACAAAAATACCAAGAAAGAATGTTGCGATCAACGAAAGCCAGTCATCGAAACAAAGCAAGTAGCGAGTAGCAAGCTCGATGCGACCGGCCTCCAAGCCACCAAGGTCCAGAAAGTCAATCAAGGCGATGAGGTTGTAATGAGAAAGAGGCAGGCCAGTTGGGTCTTGGAAGGGCAGCTTTCCCCGCATTGTCTTGGCGTCACGAGATAAGCCTTCGTCACATCGTGTCTTTCTCGCCGGCCGCAGTCTGTTTTCCTGCTTCCGTGTCTCCCTGGGGTTTCATTGTTGTCTCCTTCGATGATGAGGAAGTCTGCACAATCATCCTATGGCCATCGTCAGCTGTTTGGATGCCATCAATCTCCAATGACTTTCCGTATATGGTCCGGTCACGGTTGATCACCCGCACTTAGTTTCTGGTCCCTTTGAATGGCTCTCGGTCGGGGTGGACTTGGACTTGTGTGACTGGAATCAACTCATGATGTGCACTCACGAAAACACAGACACAGCCGATACCTGGCGATACCCTCCGAACCTTAAGTCACACTTGTTCTTGTCAACGAGGATTTGGGGATCGTGGCCTTCAGGTGTTCAGGCATTCCCCGCGATACGCCAATACGGGGTCCCAAAGCGGTTTAGCGTGTCCCCGGACGGAGGCAAACGAATAAACGAACGGGCAAATCGAAGCATCCATAAAGCCAGGCTGACGATGTAGTGGAAATGGCATTCAACTAACCAGACGAGAACAGGTCGCGGTCTCACATAAAGCACTGCCACAGCTTATGCTTACGATAGAGCTGGCTAGAACAGCTAGCTGGCTTACTCTGACTGTGTCTGTGCCGTAATCCGTCGCAAAGCGAACGGATCCCAACCACGAGTCGACGGGGGTTCCCAAGCGACATTCCTCCTTGGGTAACAGCAGTGTCAATCACCACTCGGCGAAAGGGAGACCCGATATCCATCCCTCGTCCTGAGTCGCCCAGATGGTTCATTCCTTCCGGCCCACCTTGTTGCTGTCAATGAGCGGCTTTTCATTTCACACCCGATCGTCCCGTCGTATTAAGCGTATTCGAGGATCCATCCTCATAGACAAGGATGGAGTGGAGCAAAGCCACCGAGATTTCGGTTGTTTCAAAGTATATATTTTTATAAGTAATCTGGCGGTTCCCAGTGCTGACTTCGACCGTGGTCTTCATTTTTACGATTTCCCAGGCGCCTTTTGCTACCCACTCCAGCAATGGCAGTCATCCTTGAGGTCCTCGATAACCAACACCTCTTGCAAGGTGTTGTACTGGCCCTGGTCTTGGTATTTGTTTCCAGTTTCTACCATGAAATAGCAGATAGTTTCCCTTACAAGAATATTCCCCTAGTTGGGAAAGGTAAGTGGGAGATCACAAACACCAAGGCCAAGCACCGATTTGTTACATCTGCAAAGGAGCTCTTCGCCGAGGGTTTCAGTCAGGTATGGAGTGAAGTATAAATCAGTAGCGGCGGAAGCTAATGTACTTGCAGGGTCGGAAAGCGTTCCAGGTCCATTTCTCGGCTAGGCCGACCATCGTCCTTCATCCAAGCCTAACAAACGAGGTCAAGAACAATCCACTTCTTGACTTCAATGAAGCAAACAAGAAGGTATGATACCGCTTGATAATGGGCACGTCTATGGAGCGATCTAATGTTCATGGGGTAGAGCTTCTTCGGATCCAAGATTCCTGGATTTGAGCCGTTCGATGGATTAGATCATGAGGGCATTTTCCTAGAGGTGATCAACAAAAAAATTACTCAAGGGCTTGGTAAGGCGACCCTGTGGAAATAATATCAAACAGAACACTGACTTTCTTGCAGGGCAGCTGACCACTCCACTTTCAAGAGAGACTATTGCAGTTTTAAATGAGAAGCTTCCGGACTCGGGGGGTACGTGACTCACATTCATGGGGGACTGTTGACCTTCTAACAAGCGATAGAATGGCTTCCCTTCACCTTTGCACAGGAGATCCCCCATATCGTAGCTCGCCTGTCCTCTCTCGTGTTTCTGGGAGAGAAGATTTGCCGCGACAAGCAGTGGTTGGACGTTTCCGTCAATTATACCATCCATGCTTTCGTTGCTGCTCGTGACCTCAGACTTTACCCTACGGTTCTCCGTCCTTTTGTCCACTGGTTCTTGTCGTCGACTCGCAGGACCCGGCAAGACATTCGCGTCGCTTCCGCCATTATCAACCGTGAGGTAGAAAAGCGAATACTCATCCGGGAAGGCAAGCTTCCTGAAGAGGACCCTCCAAGGACGCACGCAGACACATTGGACTGGTTTGAAGAGGTTGCTGCGGGTCGGCCGTTAGACCTCGCTGTGGCCCAGGTCGGCCTTTCTCTGGCCGCGATTCACACGACATCTAATCTCCTCACGAATATCATGTACGACTTGACAGCCTACCCAGAGCACATCCAGCCACTGAGAGACGAGATCAAGGCCATCATCAGTGAAGATGGAGGCTTGAAGAAGACCAGCCTGACCAAGATGAAAATGATGGATAGCGTGCTGAAAGAATCCCAGCGAATGCACCCCGCCGGCGTTGGTAAGCACTCGACCCAGCCTCTCTCCCGATACCTAATGAAAGACTTTCATCTGACATGCTACCAAAGCCTTCATCAATCGCGTCGCCATGGGAGATATTACCCTCTCCGATGGCACCCGCATTCCCAAGGGTGCCAGCATAGCAGTTTCGGCGCACAACATGGAAGATGAAAGCCTCTACCCGAACGCGAAGACGTACGATGGCTTCCGATTCTACAAGAAGCGTCAAGAACCCGGCAATGAGCACCGGTTCCAGTTCGTGACAACCAGCCCGGAACATCTCGGCTTCGGACACGGCATGCATGCATGCCCGGGACGCTTTTTCGCCTCGAACGAAGTGAAGATTCTCCTCATCCACTTTCTCATGAGATATGACTGGAAGTTCGCAGATGGCCGCACAACGCGACCGATGAACTTTATGCACGGAACGGAGTCGATTTGCGATCCGACAGTGGAATTCCTGTTCAAGCCCCGACAGCCAGAGGTTGATCTGTCATGATCCATTTCTTAATCTCAAGCGTGTATATACCAAGTCGACCGGTACAGAATGCTGTGTACATACTAGATTGCCTATATTCGATCAACTCGATCAACCAATCAGAACGACATACAGGATCGAAACAAATCTAAGACATATCTCAGCAGATCAAGTGCCTTATGACATGATTTGTTTTGCTTTTCTTCTTTCCAACGGCGTCTCCACATGCACCCAAGACAAGTCAGTCATATGCAGCGAGATCACCAAGAAAAATCCAGTTTTGAAGCAAGGGATGAATGTGGCGACGCTGACGAGGAATAATACCGCACCACACTACTACAAAACCGGTTCTGTTCTTCATACATACACTGCATTTTTAGCTTGTGATTGATTTCATTCGTCATACTTTATGCTATTGTTCATTCCTAACACGGATGTGGCGGGTGTCACTCACAGAATGAATCATGCTCTAGATACATACCTACCGAGGATGAAACTGTTCCCAGGATTTGCGCTGTTTGTTTTTGTCTTACCTGTATTCCTAAAAAGGTAAGCAGTACGCAAGAACATGAACCACTGCACTGCATTAACTGCAGATGTAGGTGCAGGTGGCTAGACCGCTTACGTGGGTAGATACTATTAAGCCATAAGTTAATTCGACAGGTTAAGTAGGCAGTATGCTGTGTACTCTCCATACAGGGTAAATAGTGCATAGCGCAGATGCACACAACGGTAAGGAGATTGCGGTGTAGAACCGAACCATGGATGGAACCGAAGTAAGCCTGTAGGTTTCTTAAGGCTGGTTGGATATGATGTGAGAATTAACCAACTTGTCTGAGGAAGTTGTTGATATGTTCTATATCAATTTAGTAGATAGAGAGCTACTACTAACCTAGAAGAATAACAGGATGATACAACTGATAACCTGAAAGGGACACAAGATACTAATGCTCACATATTCCGTAATAATCATTGCAAGCACTGCAGTACATTAGAATAAATCAAGTATACACGAGCAGACAAGCAATCATAAGTAGTTACCAAGTGCTAACTGAAATAATCAAATCATATAAACTAAACGAAGGCGTTCCTGAAAGGAAACCCACGAACCATGGATTCAGTGAAAATCAAGCTTAATCCTAGCCTAACCACCTACCACAGTTCAATAGCGCCCAGTAGCTGCTAGTTCCCGATTCCCAAGTCAGCCACCTAGTAGCTGTTTCCTGGAATTGTTACCTTAGGCACCGCTACTAGCTAGCTCTAGAAGAAATTAGAGTGGCATACGGGTATACGCAGAAGCAAGTACTGCGCACGCCAGCGCGTCTACTTAACGGACGGATATGTCGAGCATGGTTATCTTCAATGTTATTCCATGTTGGGTTGGAATGTACATATACATTTGTTCAGTAGTATTCGATCAGGTATTGCATGGTACGAAGAACTAAACTATACATAGGTAGGTAGTAGGTAGGTAGAATCTATCCATATTATTGAGATAGTAGTGAGTTGTGATTATTTGTTACTGACACCATTTCCCATTCTGTACTCCGTATGATTAAGAAAATCCAAAGAAAGGTGGGTGGCTGGGGATCATGTTATTGTCGTTGATGAATGGAAAACGGTAGTAGTTACTATGGTAGTACCATCATGCAATTGCAGATGTCGGGATTTTAGTTAGGTCCGTGGTAAAATAGTACTATTATCCACTTTGATCAATCCATCTTCATGTGTCCCACAGTATTAATGTCAGTTTATAGAAATAGTTAACAACAGTATCAATAGACTACACCCTAAAAGGCAACAACTCCATCGTTCACTACTATATTTAACAGTGTGTGTGTGTGTGCTATAATTATAATATCATCAGTGCTTTCTGAATTTTTTCTGTCCGTGTGAGTCTCCATCCCCAGCCATCTGAATTACTATTTCTAGGTCTTTTGATGGAGTTAGAACTAAGAATGGTAGTGTGGTGGTCTAAAGTATAGCACGACGATACTAAGAAAGAAGTACACAAAGTAGTGGATTTAGCCAGGAACAATGGAAAGTTCCCCGGCGCAGGGCGCTAGTAAGTCAATAACGGGCGGTCGCGGCGCTGACTGGCGGGAACCGAGGCCAATACAGTCACTTACCAGACGCGCGGATCCGCGTGTCAGACGCGTTAAAGTCGCGTTTACCCCGCCTTGACGCGTTTGGGGGGCGATAAGCGAAGTGATTGACATGAACGTGCTTCAATAGAAGGTGATGAGCTGCCCGGTCTTTGTTTGCGGGAGAGATTTCTTTCAGTAGAAGGGGAAATACGCCATTGAAGCGCGTGTAGAAATAGAGGACTACGGAGTATATAGAAATAAATAGGGGGGCCACTTGTGGATTGAGGTCGTAAGATGGTAAAGAATATTCCACACTATGACTCTTACTTTCCTCTGTTTGACCATTCTCGGGCCGCCCGCGAGGCGGTTTGAGTCGTGCCTTCAATTCCATGCCCAAGCTGGGCAAGATGCTACTGGTTGATGGGCGGTGGTGCTAATGCATGCCCAGTGCGTCGGGGTTCGATTCGCCCAGGCGGTGGAGAACCGCTTCTGCAGGTGACTGGAGTTCATGACCATGATCAAATTGATCGAGGTACTCGAGGCCACCTTGCTGAAGCACCGATGGGACGCCCCCAAATTCCTGGTTCGCCAACATTATTGCTTGGGGGGCGGGAGAAATATGGATTATTCTTATTTTTTTTTTTCTCTTTTATCTATTTGCTCGCACCTCTCTCCCAGCCACCCGGAATGAATTTGATCACACGGTCCGCCATGGTGAAAGTCGGTCTTGCTCGCTAGAGAGCTTTGCGTGTAGATCGATGGGGCCACAATTGATGAAAAAGGATCAGGTAGGTCGTTTTTCTCTTGTCCTTAAGGTGAGATTGCTGCTTAGTGGGCTGGTGCTACCGGGTGCACGGGAATTGTGATGAATCCCAAGGCAATGAAGAGAAATAATTGGAGAACATAGTCAATGGTCAAGTGAGCCATCTGCACTCGGTCTGCAATGAGGACACCTTCTCGGTACCCTTGCAGTTCACGGAGAAGGGGGAGGGGAGGGAACGCAACGTTGCAAGTATAGTAACTCATGGATGAACGAGGCAATGCCCAGTCTGATTGATCTAGACTGGGAAGCTAAGCTATTACTGTTCTGGATCGCTGGTCCTGCAGCCCGTGCAAAAGGTACGGCAGACTGATGAGTCCAGTGTCCCCATATAAGAGATTAATTATGATTATTCTGGACTATCTTGTTGGGGCCACTGGGGCGACTCCATCAGGATGGCTGCCATTTGTCGACGGGCTGCAGGCGTGAATCCTCTGCCCGTCCCGAGGGATCGTTGGGCAACGCGGTGAGGCGGTTAGAGGGATTCAACTTACTATGGACCAGCCCCCGAGAATGAGAGGGTGTGAGAAAAGGTGACTGAATTTAACGGCCAATGTGTGAATGCTTCGAAGATTCTTGATCTGGATGGGGAGGATAAAAGAGTACTACTAGTTAGTCTCTTTCTTCGGTTGAGCCAACGTTGGCCAGAAACCAGTAAAAGAAAATGGAAAGGGCAAGAAAGAAAGAAGGATTGGGAGGGAAAGATTTTGAGGAAGAATTCTAAAAAGAAAAAGTGAAAATCCAAAAAAGAAAAGGCTGCATGAAAAATAGAAAAAAAAAGAAGGCAGAGAATGCAGCTGAGTGGCTCACGAGGAAGTGCAGCATATCGACTTTCTCCGCATTCCTGAGCAGTCGCGACTCCCAATTGCCCTGCTGGGTCTTTTCTTTTTCAATTTATCCCCAATTTTTTGATTAATTAATTTTTCTTCAGGTTTGATTAACGCTCACTTATGATGGCAATTGGCACCTGTGGAATTTGAGAATGAACATGGTTGCGAGTGTCATCCCCGACCTGTTACCATCATCCGCCTGGATGGAGTCTGAACAACGATCTCGATTAGCGAGAATAGGAAAGGCTCCCTGTTGAACAGCGCACCGGCGAGGCCACTTGGTGCCCTGATGGGCTTGACGTGGTGATCTCCGGGCCTGCTGGAAGGGCCAAAAAGGTGGAGCCAGAGGGAAGAGACTAGTTCAGTTCGTCCCTGTCGCGGCCACCAGAGCAGAGCAGAAGCAGAGTTCCGCTACCCAAAAGGCGCTGTGAACAGTTTAGTTTAGTTAGCAGTTAACTAACAGTTAGCAGAGTAGATGCTGGGGAGTTTAGTGAGTGTTCGCGGCTTCTTGCGCCTACCGCTTCCCTTTCCCTTCCCTCAGTCTGTGCCCCCCTCGGCTGTCTCATCCTCTCGCTCTCTTCCTCTTCTAACTAATTATTCCCATTCTCCCTCCCTCCCTCCCCCCCGTTTATTTCCTTTCCCTCCGTTACTTCCCTACATCCCACCCCCTTCTTTCTCGACAGCCACGTTGTCGCTTCTCCTTTTTTCTCCGATCGAGCTTGTCGCTCGTCATCGACCATCCCTTCCGTTTACTTTTCCTTTTCTTTTGTGTTGGTCTGGCGTGTTCGTGTGCCAATGTCGGCTCCCCATCTTCTATAGTTCCCTCCTCTGGGGTACCCGTTCGATGTGATCCTCTCGCAATTCCCCCCCCAAAAAAAGCGCATCGCTGCACAACATCGTTGCGCGTCACATCGAATAACATACGAATTCGATCGCTTTCGCCCATCCGACCACTCACACCTCGACGTGTTTTTCCTTTTCTCTGTTTTGTTCCCCTCATCTCCTGTTACGACTCACGACCCCCCAATAAACCCTAAGCGCGCCTTGTCGACGACCCCCTCCTTCGGAGATCGATCACAGACGTTGCACCATTGACTGAAACGGATTTCTTTACTTCTATTGCTCTTGGATTTCTTTTCCTCCTTGCTCTCCCATAGTTGAGTTTGGTTGTTCTCTGTGAATAGCGTGTGCGCGCCTCGAAGTGGACAATACCGTGCGATCTAGGCTATCTCCGTCCGCGCGCTTAACTTGGAACGTCAGGCACCATTTCTCGCATCGCAATCGAGGTTCGCGACATGACAGTGGTATAGGGAAGCTGCATCATACTGTCAAGATAACGCACTTACCTACATACCACTTGTCCCCGTCTTCGCTAGCAAACCGTCGTTGAACCGGTACGGGACCTTGCACACCATGGCTTGTCGACCACACGGCCTATCGCGCACCCTGCCGAAGAACTTCACCTTTTCTTCGTCGGGCGAGCCTCGCACACCGGAGCGCGTCTCACATCACCTGGATGTGCCGCCGCCTCCCCCTCGTCATTCCAGTTGCCGCTTACGTAGGTCCCGCGTCCGCTCGGGGACCGATGTCTTTGCGCAGGCCGAATATGACCTCAGCACGTTCAACCCCAACCCATCCGATGTCCCTATCCCCTCGATTGAAGTCCCTTCTTACGACGCTTTTGCGGGCCCCTCGTGTCCAGCAGTACCCTCCCGTGATGACCGTTTTTTAGCGCCGCCCCGGGATCGCCTGGCCATGAAAACACCTCCGGCTCAGATTCGCCCCGACCCGATCGAGGATAACAATACCGCATCGTGGTCTCTGGAGGACCCGCAGGCTCTGGGAGAGAGTATTCAACGTCCTAGTTCCGTCTGCTCACAAGCATCGGACTCGTCCGTCTCCTCGATAGAAACGTTTAGCTCCCGGCGCTCGGCGGGTGGAAGCTGTACCAGCATGGAGAGCGACTCATACGACCCATTCTTCCACCTGGAGCTTCCACCAAAACCTGCGCCTGAGACGCCCTCTCTGTGTCGAACGCGCAATAAGAACAAGGCACGGATGCTGCACGCCAAGGAACGTTGGACCCTGGACATGGACAACCATCTATGGAATACTTACCAGCTCTACATCCAAGACCCTACCATCACCCCTTTCAAAATGACTCCGGGCAGCATTCCGCCACTTGGAGTCACTCACCGTGTTGCCCGAGAGGCCAAGCGGACGTGGGAGAGAAGGCGCTTTAGACTCGACCGACAGTTTCCCTTCGCGCTCTCCTACCAACGTCCATCTAGCAACTCGACTCCCACTCCCAAGGTTGATGCGGTGAAGCCTACCTGGCCTAAATCAGAAGCCTCGACGCGGCGCAGGCTAAAACTACTGTGTAGAAAGAAGTTTTCGATTGCTCCTCACTACCAGAGAATGATGCAATCTCGGAGCCCGACGCCGTTCCTGGACTTGCTGTCCCAGCCGTCTGCAGAACCTTCCAGGGCTGTGGGCCCTACCAATAGCTGCACGGCCTATGCGACGCGCGATCTGGGTGTGTCTCTCGTTTCCAGCTCCGTACCTGGGCCTCTGGCTCAGCTGGCAGCGGAAGACTCTTCGCCTCCGATGAGCAACGAATGGTTCAACAATCCCATACTCAGTGCGCCTCGCCAACTCATCCCAGAGCCACCTACAATACACCCTGGTACTGCCCCTAGACTAGAGCCCGTGCCACGACTAGGATCGCCATTTACGTATAACACCTGGGGTCCCAATGCCTCGAGAAAGCGACCTCAGCGTCATACCCCTAGGGCTCGGCGAGAAACAATCCATGTGACGGGCTCCCGGCTACGTTCTCCGCCCCGTATGGAGCCATTTCCGAACGTCGACCATCATCAACACCTGGCTCCTTATGTGGCCACTACCAGCGAATCGCCAGCGGAACAAGATACGCGGGTGCAGCTAGAAGACCTTGTCCGTCAAGGAAAGCTCAATGATTTAGGTCAGCACCGCATACGCATTCGCAACCGTGGAGCCACGATAAGTTCAGTGAACCACAAAGGCCTCGACCAGTTGTTCTCCCCACCGTCGTCGTCCTCTCGAAACGACGAAGATACCATGGTCGGAAAGCCCATCGTCAATCCTATGTTGAATCTCAGTGGCGACAGTATCAAGCGTTTGGGCTCCCCCTTCAAGGTAGAAACCCCCAAACGAGCCCAGCCGTCGCCTAGGCGCATTCGCCACGCGCCGTCGCTCTCGGATCCCTTCGCAAGCGGTCTTATACCAACATTCCAGCCGACGAGTCCCAACAGTCAATCGAAGAACGAAGAAATGGCTAGTCGGCTCCCGTACGATCCGACGGAGCAAGGCATCTCCGATGCAGAGCGCATTCGAAGGCAAATCCTGAACATGCCGTACTCGAGGCAATAGGTTGCATATCGCATTTTTAGAAGTCTGTTTCACCATGTGTCAACGTCACATCGATCTACTACACTAATGACCGGGATGATTTACCGTGATCTTGATCGCATTTGATCAAAGGATATAATGACAGAAATGGCAGCCACGAATTGATGACCTTGTTTTAGCTCCTGCTTCCTTCTCTCGCGCTGAAACCATTGCATTTGTTGAGGAGCAACATTTCATGATAGGCGCGAAGAGGAGAGGCCACAATAACGAAAAACGAAAAAAAAGTGCTTTTAAGTTGCTTCTACATGCATACGTTGCTTTGAGCGGTTCAGCTGTACACCACGGTGCTATTAAGGTGTACGAGCCCAGCTCCCAACCGCGACTCATTCAACCGAACTGGACCGTCGTTTCCCACGCAGTGTTCTTGTTCTCCTCTCTACTCTTGACCCATACAACATGTTTGTCAGAACACTCTCCGGGGCATCGTGAAACCGGAAACGACAAATAGACTTTTCCTGCCACCGAAGAATGTTTCGCAGACACTGTTGATGGTCATCACACTCTCTGATTTTCCTTATTCTTCTATCTCAACTACCGAACCCCATACACTCTTTGAACAAATATCGACAGTATCACAGACATTGCCAGAAACATCGAAAACCGAAAAACCTACAAAACAAACCAACCCTGGCAACCCCACTATCTTTCAATCTCTTTTCATCTCTTTATCCATCTCTTTCTCATTTCTTACCATTGATTTGAATACTCAACATTACCGTGCGATCCGTCTTTGATCTTGATGAACCTTTGGCATGCCCATTTTAGCATGCGCAGTGATGATTGGTATGGAGAGACGCCGCTATTGAATGAATGACTCATAGATGAAACGAATCCGCACGACTTGGCAGCTGCTTAGTGACGACGTCTTATGGAAAGCGCCCCATTGTCTTTGCAGCGTTTAGCTTTCAGTTTCAGCCTTGCTTTAACTGACTTGTTTTCGAACTTGCTTCATGTTCGTCCTATCTACTACTTACTGACTGACCATTACTTACATTGTTGTCTGTCTATCTGTTTAGCATGTCTTGCTCCAGTCAAGCATGTTTTGTTGGCTCTCAACTGTCTACATCTCTCATTATGTCTCTTACTATCTCTATTTTTTCAAAGAATACATTTCTCCTTTCCTTTACAATATGTAAAAAAAGATTTGATATCTGTGTGGTTGCATTGTAGCGCATTTATTTATTAGTATAGCATTTTTGCATTGATCTGATCTAGTCCGGTCTTTGACGGTGAATGTTAGCTCGTGGTAAATGGTGTCGAAGCAATCAAGTTAAGCATGACGGGTCAACTAATCATCTAACTGCAGTGCACGTGTGGGTGGATAATTGCAACAAACTACTACATGACCCAGGCTATTAGCATCTGCATCATCTTGAAATAGACACTACCAAATATTCCCTGTCTCTTCTTCTCCGGCTATTCTTGCTCCTTCTATTCTTATCACTAGACTGTCCGTATCTGTCTCTTCCGGTAGAATAGCACATTTTAAATTTTTAGATTTTGATGCCAAGATTTCTAGATAAGAATAACTTAACCCTAAATCAAACCCTCCAGATACTTTCTTAAGACCATTATGTATGACGTGCAATGTATGCAACTACAGTATGTATTCAGACCAAAGGCCACTATAAATAACAGACAAAGAACAAGGAAATAAGTACATATGTAAATATGAAACAACAACCCAAACGCCAACGCTGCGACTAAAACAAGGAAAAGACATGAGGGGGTATAAAGTGCGTACGTGTCACGTGCATCGTCGAAAGGGGAGGGATTATTAGTGAAAGAACAAAGAGTGGAGCATTGTAGAAAGAACAAAGGTAGGGAAAAGAAAAAGGAAGTGAATGAGCCACAAAGGAAAGAAAAGGATTAAAGAAGCATTTTGAACTAACACTTCTCCAACCGCTTCCTCTTCTCCGCATAAATAGCCTCTAATTTCCGGATCTGCAGTCCAAGACCCTTCTTCTCTGCATTAGCGAAGAGCCAAGACTCCATTCTCTCGCGAAGATGTCTCATGGAGTTCGTTACGGGGAGGATGGGCTTGTTCTCGCTTGTCATGGCGGCAGGGTTCTGGCCTTCGCGTTCCAATTGAGCCCATCGCTCCTCGCCCGGATTGAGGAGGAGGTCGAAAACGTCGTTCCAGATATCGCGCTCCCAGTACCGTTTCAGAGACTCGCGGATTCGGTACGTCTTGGTCTCAGGGGTATTGCCGCTGGGGATGGACTCGAGGTACTTTCCGAAGAGCATGACGTGGATAGTACCTGCTAGGCCATAAAGATCGATTTGGTGTGTCCAGGGTCGGTTCTCGCGGATTTCGTTGCACTCGTGCTTGCCGGTTTCCCAGTCGGCGACGAATTGGACGGATGGTTGGAAGGCTTGCATGTCGATACTGCGGCCGAAGTCGATGAGGGAGAGACCCTTGTTGCGCCAGCCGTGGAGGCCCCGGGGCGAGTAGTGGATTTCGCGTGGGTCTGCGGTGATCTCATCGCCCAAGTCGATTAGGGAGGGAGGTGGTGCGGGCTTGTCGTCGAGGCGGACGAGGCAATTGTCGGCTTTGATGTCGCCATGTAGGATGCCACAGGAGTGAAGAGATTCGACGATACGGAAGAGCTCCACTGTAAAGAACATGGCCAGAACCTCGTCTATTCCGCCTTCGGCGTTGGTGTTGGCTGAGAGCGGCTCGTTACGGATGAGGTTCACAAGATCGAGCAGAGTTCCTTGTCCACGGTAGTCTTCGACCAGAATGCTTTCTCCTTTGTAGACGTGAAGCTCGTGTGCGCGGATGATACTTTCAGTAGCGCGGGAGTATTCGGGATGTTGGCTCAACCGTTCGTTTGCCGTGCGAATCATGTAGAACTCCCACTCGCTGGGCGGTCCTACCTCCAGTTTGATCGCTTCGAAGCCGTGACGGGGTGCGTCGTATCGGATGGGACTAGGGTTGTGGGAATCTCTGCTGTTGGAGTCGGTTTCAGAGTCGGAAGGTAGACTGTCGATGCTCTCTGCAAAATAGACCGGCGCATAAGCACCGGCACCAAGCTCACGCCTAATGATATAGCTTCTCTCGGCACCTGGAAGCTCAAGAATGGGAACATCGAAAGATGCCTCATCCCCACTTCTTGAACGCTTCGGGCTGGTCTTGAGGTATCGTTGGATTTCAGAGCCATAGTGAGTGTCCATCTCGGGGTGGCCGTGGTAGCCAGGATACGATGCCAGCGGTGGCTGCAATGACCGAAGAATCGTGTTACGAATATCCCTGTCGGTTGGGTTGCACTGCCCATCTTTAATGACTACTCCTGTCCGAGGGCTTTCTCTCAGGGGGCTCAATTTGAAGCTTGTTCGAAGCTTCTCCATTGTGGGGCTCAGAGCAACGTCTTCAGGAATATCAGGGAAGTCATCGTGGTGAGGAGTGGCAGGAAGCAATGGGCTCGACAACAAGAGATTGCCCATCGGGGGCTTCGACGGTGTCTTCGCATTATAGAGACTGTTCCTCGCTGCGGTCATTGACAGGGAGTGTTCGGTCTGTTCAACGATTGGCGTCATGAAAGGCAGGCGATTCTGAGCCATCACTGCGGGGTCTCGATAAGGGCCATAGGGCGGGTTGTAATCTTCAGGCATTTGAGGGACAAATCGCTGCCTCTCGCCATTTTCATCTGCTTCATGGAACTGCTCCGTGTTATCCTCTCTGCCATGGTATGTGGAGTCCTCAGGCATAGCAGGTGAATGAGCAGCGCCCAGATCCGGCACATCACAGGCCGAGAACTGAGTCCACTCTCCATCTACCCCACTCTCAGCTCGAGTGTTGTCTTCGAACCCATCCTCATCACCTTCGACGAACGATTTGTGAAAGGTTGTGTCATCATCGCCGAAATCGCTTGACGCGGCAGACATGCGACCAGTGACCGTGCTCTCTCCAGCGCTCGTATAATCATCATCATCGAAGTCACTACTCTCTGCTGCATTCTCAGTTTCTGCTTTGAGTGGCTGGTTGAAAATACTATAGATCTCGTCTGTTGCAGCGCGGGTGTGGATGGTCATGGTTGGCTCAGCAGTGCTCTTGCGGCGAATCTTGCCCCCAGTGGGCGAATCAAACTTCATTTTGACTTCAATTGGGTTAGCACACAAAGACAGCGAATGAAGTGGCATAAAATACTAAGTGAACCAAGATTGTTACTTACTCGTCTGTGTCTCTCCTTTCACTTCACGAAGCTTCAACTTCCGTGCTTTGTTGGCTTTGCTTTCCTGGACCGGGTTTTCCCGTTCGGAGTCGTGTGTCTCTGCATCTTTGACAGTCAATTTCTGCTTAAACTGTTGTGGTAGGTCATTTTCGAGGCCATGCTCCAGAGGGTTCTCCGAGGGTATCTCTGCTGCTGCTGCATTGCCTGAGATCTGCTTGAGGGGCTCTTTATGGGCCCGCCAGTTCTTGTCCATCCAGCCACGACTGATGGCCCTAAGTTCTTCGAAGCTCACTTCGTGAGCCGGGTTCTTGTAGTCTGGGTATACTGCTTCAAGGTTGACGAAGACGCGCTCCCGTCTCCCTGTACGTGGGTTAACCGCTTCCCTTACGCGATGCTCTGGAACATGTTTCGATTGCAATTCTTCTTTTGCTTGTAAATTTGAATTTGACTGAATACATAAATCGTAAACCAATGCGGTTCATGCCACCAATTAGTCCTGTGATCGTAAATATACGGAAATCAGAAAGAGTAGGTAAATTAAACCTCTGAACTTACCTCATCCCTGAAAATCGTCATCTTCTGTGCCGGTGCCGGCTTCTTCCCTGCCTTCAGAGTCTCCCCCGCCCATGGCTTGGCCTCCACCTTGTTCTCCTTCCGTCGGTCATGCAACGATCCAATGCTGTCCCACCCTTGTGCCGGCGCACTAACAGCTGGTTGGCTGGGTGTATCGGCGTCGGAAAAGATCGCCATCTTCGGCTTGCCGGATTTCGTCTTCGGAGCAGCGCTACGCGCGGGTGCTGGGCGCTGGGCCTGGGGATCGGCTTCTGCGGGAGAAGCCGAAGCGAAGGGGTCGACCTTGGCAGCCAACGCTGGGCGCACAGCCGGTAGCGCAGGTGACGAGGGGCCATTGTCCTGTGTGTGGTTTTCGTAGCGGTGCTGGAACTCGCTGTATTTGCGCACAAGTCGTTCTGCGGGGCGCGCTTCCTTGTCAATGCCAAGCCGGTACACCTCGTCGGCCTGCGTCCATCTTCCTGCACTTTCCAACCAGGCCGCAAATTCTTCGTAGTACAACGCAAGTCCTTCTCCAATACGGTGGCGTGCCAGAAAAGCGAATGTCTCCCGCGGTGAGTCGGAGAAGAGTCTGATGTAGTGAAGCCACAGGCGCAGATAACGAGGGTCGTTCTTATAATGAGGGGAGTTGAGGAAGTGTTTCACAGCACGTTCCAGGAGGGGCAGAAGGCCGGATTCAGCTGTAGCCTGGGCGGTTGGATAGGCATTCAGCGCCCATTTCACATATCGGTCGTAGATATCGAGCGGGTCGTCGGATTCTCCTATGGCTTGCAATTCTGTTTCATATTCTTGGCGGATGGCATCGTTCACTGTGCGGGTATCATTTGGCGACGGCGTAGCCAGGATATCTGTAGATTCGCGTGGAGAGAAGATGCGAGCCAACTCTCTTGCTGACCGGCCTCCTGGTAGTGACTGAATGTTCTCCTTCTGGCCTTCGATGATGTCGAAGTTGACGTGGTCTTCGTTGGCCGCCATTGCGGCGACAGGTAGAGATGAAAAGTGGATCAGAGCGAGTGCGTCGAGGGTGGCTATTGATCGGTCGTAGTAACTTTGCGGTGACAGCGGTGAAGAAGTCGAGATGGTGGGCTGGCGAGATGAAGCGAAGGGCGACTCGAGAATAATCGAAGGGGATTGACCGACTCGGGCAGTTTATCGATAAACAGCCACTAGTCCCACTCGGGCTGGTTACCCCGACGACCAGTCACATGGACACTAGCCCATATCGGGTAATATTCGCTGCCAGTATCTGGGCTGCTGCAGATATACTCGTCAAGCTTGTGAGAGGGCGTTATAGTGCTATTTTGTGCATATTTTGAATAAAATCCAGTTACTTATACTCAGATACTCCTGATCAACACTTATCCTTCTCGATATAACGCGTGGGAAGTCACCTCCAGCGCAGTCCCCTCAACAAGCAATTCCGCTCGCGTCGACCGCGTCAAACCGCCGGGCCGATCCTGCTATCTTTCAACGGCCCACCACCGCCCTGCCATCCCACCATTCCAGAACGACTGGCCAGATTGGGTGACTTCATAGTCCTTGAAGTGCCCAGATAAGCTGTGATGCCTCCGCGCAGTACCCGGAAAGCAGCCTCAACCGCAGTGGCGACTGAGCCGCCACGCTCCCCCGAACCGGGAGGCAACAAGCGCAAGCCCGACGAAACTCAGGAACAAAGCTCCCCGCTACGAAGATCGAAGCGCGTCAAGTCTGTCGAAGGCCTCGGAACGCAGTCGCCGTCCGGCAAAGCCGCTGCGCGCACAGCACCGACCGAATCTGCTGGAAGCCCCAAGGCAACGCCGAGGAAATCTGGTGGTCAGGTCGTTTCGGTGAAGAAGGAGATTGAGGAGGAAGAGACGATCTCGGTTGAGGCAGAGGTTGTCGATGAGAACAAAGTCAAGGACGAAGAAGCGGATGAGAAGCCGAAGGTAAAGGCCAAGGTTACGAGGAAGAGAAAGACCAAGGAAGATATCGAGATGGTACCATTGAGGGCGCGCACGCAGGGTCTGCGCATGTGCGTAGGCGCTCATGTCAGTGCTGCCAAAGGTTGGCATCTACTAGACTCAATCGTCTTTGATATGATGCTTACGATGCTATGCTACAGGTGTCTTCAACGCGGTTCACAACAGCATGCATATTGGGTATGTTCCACTCACCCTCTCAACCAGCATCATCTAATCCCTCCCAGTGGCAACGCCTTTGCCCTATTTCTCAAGTCCCAGCGGAAATGGGACAATCCAGCCCTCCAAGATGACCACCGCGACCAATTCCGCAACCTCTGCATAGAGCATAAATACGACGGCGCAAAGTGAGCCTCCCAACCCACACCAACCGAAGAGGAGCCAACCCTAATCTAACTATACCAGACACATCCTCCCCCACGGCTCCTACCTCGTGAACCTGGCCCAAGAAGACAAAGCCAAGGCTAAGCAAGCATATGACGCATTCCTGGACGACCTTCGCCGCTGCGAAGCCCTAGGAATAACCCTCTACAACTTCCAGTACATCCCCCTCCCCTACACACCCCATCCTACCAACCCGTACTAACCCCCAAAAACCAGCCCCGGCAGCGCCAACCAAACCTCCCATGCCTCCGCCATAACCCGCCTCGCCGCGGCCCTAACCTCCGCCCTCGCCGCCACCAGCACCGTCACGCCGGTGCTCGAGACCATGTGCGGCCACGGCAGCACAATAGGCGGCTACCTGCACGAATTCCGAGACATCCTCTCCCAAATCCCTAAAGAATACCATCACCGAATCGGCATCTGCATCGACACCTGCCACAGCTTCGCAGCGGGGTACGACCTCGCCTCGCCCTCGGGATTCGCCTCCTTCATGCAAGAATTCTCCGACGTAATCGGGATCCAATACCTGCGCGCCCTACACCTGAACGACTCGAAAGCACCACGAGGCAGTAAACGCGACCTACACGCTAACATCGGCACGGGATTTCTGGGCCTGCGCGCATTCCATAATGTTATGAACGAGCCGCGGTTCCAAGGGTTACCGATGATTTTGGAGACGCCGATTGATAGGCCTGAGAGTGAAATCAAAGGTAATGAGGAGGGGGAGGAGTCACCCAAGGCTGATAAGAAGAAGAAACCGGCTGGGGCTTCTGCGAAGATGGTACCGGATCATAATGTCTGGGCGGGCGAGATCGCGCTGCTTGAGTCGCTGATTGGGATGGATCCTGAGGGAGAGGAGTTCCGGGCCTTGGAGGCGAGGTTGTCTGAGGAAGGGCGGGAGATGCGCGAGAAGCAGATGGAGCAGTATGAGCGGAAGTTGGAGGCGGAGGCGAAGAAGAAGGAGAAGGCGAAGGCGAAGGAGGAGAAAGGGCAGAAGACGCTGATGGAGATGATGAATGGGGGCGGGAAGCCGAAGGGGAAGAATACGAGGGCGAAGAAGGGAAAGGCAGTGGAGAAGGATGAGAGTGATGAGGGGAGTGATGAGGAGGGGTGTCAGAGTTGTTCGGAGTAGTTTCATGTATGTATAGTGCTACGTATGGAGTCTCAAAAATGTATCAATAGATGATGTACGAATGGAAGGGTTCTGGGAGAGTCATTTTAATATAGTATTGTATTGGAGTAGTGGTGTAGTGGATCAGACTAATTTATGTAGACTGCAATGCGATTAAGCTCCGTTAGAGCTAAGAGATAGATAACATGGTATCACTGTCTATACCAGACATCGTCTGCCAATATGTGCGGGACGCCCAATGTACTCCAGACATGCCGATTCCCAGGCATGCTGATCAGATCCTCCGTTATAAAATAAGGACCATCCAAATCAGAAACGTGATGCGACGATCGACGAACTCGAACGCTGATGCCACGAGGTTGTAGACCGACAAAGGGGTCTTTGGATATCAAGGAAAGTAGGGAAGCAAAATTCCAGGTCGAACCATACCAGTGGTCCCTTGAACCATGGTGAAAAACGCATGAAACAGCAATTACCAGAACTACTCGTCTAGCTAGCTGAGCGTCCTTCCGGTGAAGCCCGTTCTGGAGATGTCTGGGGCTTGCTTCCGAAGCTAGGGCCAGAAGCCGATCGATTAAGCTCAGCTTCCAGGGACGTGATGACTGGGGGCGCCGATTTCAAGGGCGAGGGGGCCGACACTCGAGGGGAGAAATTTCTATCGTGGTCCCCGAGATTGGTGGTGTTGATGCTTAACCCGAGCGCATTGCTAGCGCCGCTGGCACGAACACGGAATGAGCGCCGACCGCCAGCGGTCAAGTCATCCTCAGGAGTGATATTCACATTGTCCTCGTCGACATGGATACCCGGAGATTGGAAAGTGCTCGTTTCAGGGTTACGGATCCGTCGGTACTCTCCGCGCTCCCCAGTCGGATCGGAGTCGTCCTCAGAGTCCAGATTGGGACTGCGTGTCCACGCGCCCTTCTGGGCTTCTGAGCGCATTTTAGAGATCTTCATGTAGTTGTAGGACGCGATGCTGCCAATGGTGACCACCAAGCCCGTAATGTTGACTGCAGTGAGCTGATCGTGGAAGATGACCCCAGCAGCASTGATGGTGACGACTTCCTTGAAGATGCCGCAAATGMTCAGCGTCACTACCGAAGAGCGCTTGAGGAGCGCAAACTCAGAGGAAATCATGCAGAAAGCCAGGATACCAGGGAAGATCAGCAGGAAAACAGCAAACAGGCCCCCGCGGGCAGCCGCCAGGGCTTGGAAGCCAGCGATGATCTCCAACGGCCCCTCTACCGCCAGCGCAATGACAATCAGTGAGACAAACATCACAGGCGTAAGGAAGAAGAGGGTGGAGAACGGGTTCGCCGTCGCGGGATGGCGTAGGAGGAGAATCTGGGTGAGGCCCCATCGGAAGCCCGAAAAGAACGCCGATGCAATGACGAGGATAAATCCAACCGCATTGAAAGCGGTCTCGCCGGCGACCATCATGACAACACCCACGGTCATCGTAGCAATGATCACGATCAACTTGACGGATGGGGTTTCGAGGCGGAAAACGAAGGCAAAGAGAAGGACGAATGCTAAGGCGGATGATTTGCACATGGTGAGGAAGGTAAGGGAAATGAACTTCAGGGACATGTTTCCCAGTCCAATATCGAGGGAAGTCGCCACACCGCAGGGGACGAGACGTGTAAGGTAGAAGAACCGGGTGACCACCGGTCGGGACTCAAAGGGATCATGCTCGCTCACGGGCGAACCTGTAGGTGTGGATGCAGCGGGCGCTTTCGGACGCAGGGAGGGTATCAAATAGAGGAGTATCGACGAGAAGGTGAACTGAACGGCCATATGCAAGCTCGTGGTGAAGAGGGGGAAAGGAAAGACAACATCGTCATCGGAGAACATCCACTTGTTGTACTACCAGCACCGACGGGGGTTAGCATGTGAGCCACGGAATACACGCACCAGAAAAACTCACAATTGAAATCGACAGCGAAAAGAAATACCACAGCAGGATCAATCCCGCATTAATGGACAGCCTCCTGAAGACATCACTATCTGTGAACCCCAACGGTAATGTATCGTGCTTCGAGGCCTTGACGTCGGCGATACGGGCATCCAACTGTCGCCGCTGCTGCCTTCTGCGGCGCCTCTGGCGTCTCTGCTTCGCTGTGAGGCCCGTTTCTTCGTCATCATGGAGGTCGTCGTCTGAGCTGATATAATCCATCTCCAAGCTCTCTGCGATCGAGGATAGGTCCGAGATGTCTGCGTCCTCAGCCGGCGAGGACTTGGGCTCCTCTCGTTTTGAGCCGGCAGCGTCCCCAATGACCCTTGGTATATCGTCTCGATGCTCGATTGGAGCTGACTGTGAAGCGCCCGCCAGTACTGAGCTCCGCCGTCGATGATGATTGCCAGACGGAGAGACACCCATGGTGGGAAGAGGTGCGTACCGTCGGAGCGGGACGGCGAACGATATAAGAGGGCGATAAGGAGATGGAAAGGAGGGTAGTCGCTAGGTTGGCGCAGGCCCCATCAGTGACGAAAGGTAGGACTAGGGTATGTGTCTCAAGTGGGCCAGCGCTGGAGGGAGAGCACAGTCACGACCGGAGGGAGGGATTCGCGAGGGTGAAGAATGGCGAGGGGCACCGGATGCCCGAAGGAGTGATGAGGAAAGCCGGTGAGGGAATTGACTGGTCTTAGTGGGGACGTTGACAAAAAAGCTCACGCAGAAGAAGGCAAATCAGAGTCACGAGAGAGAAAAAGGAAAATGTCAAGGGAGGGTGGATGGTAGGAGGAGTGGCAGCAGGACAGCCCGAGCAGGATGATGGGGGATGCAAGGGCGACCGATGCACGAACGCCGTCCCCGTTGATAGCGGCAGAGAGTGAGAGACAATGAGCCAGGAAGAGGCGGGATAAGCACGCGAAAGGAGGAGAAAATAGGAGAAAAGGGAAAAGGGAAAAGGGAAAAAAAGAAAAGAAAGGAGGGAAAGAAGGAGGGGATTCACAACCAGTCAGCACACAGCAGAATGAACCAGTTGAGACGGAGAATCAGAATGAGCATTTGGAAAATGGGGGGAATTGGAATGGAATGGCAAAGGGAGAGGAGGAAGTGGAAGAGAAAGAGGGAGAGAGTCAAGGCAGTCAGTCAGTCTAAGCAAGTAGTGCAAGTTTCAACCCAAAAGTGGATATGGAATTATTGTTTTCTCGCCAAGGGAAACAGAGAAATTCGAACAAGATTACAAGAATAAATCAGAATAATCAAAATTATAATAATAATATTGAGGTCTTCTGGTCTGGTCAAATCGCCAACAGCCACAGCCTTCCCAACGTCATAGCGCGATAGTCACTAGTAGTTAATCCCCCCCTGGTCGATTGGGATACGAGCATCGCCGGGTGCTGAGGTTAATCATGAAATGATGACAGAAAAGAAGGAACCGAAAGACAGGCACAACTTCGGGGGGAAGAGAGGATCCACCTTCCATCCGCGTCTCAAAAAGAAGACCCAACCAAGGGCCTGTTGTTTTTCATCTCTCTGTCCAAGTGTTTTGCCCCTATTGAAATGCTAGTCTAGTCACAGATTGTTTACTACTATCCGTACTACTACTATCTACTCCGTCAAATGATGCCGGATGTCCTGCTCAGGTCGAAAGTCACCAGCCAATCTTCCCAGATTAGGAGCGGGGATCCTCGTTTTCTAGATTCCTTCGGCTTTGGTCCCTTCCGGCCGATCCGGGGTCAGCATTAATTGCTTCCCTTGAGTGACTCGAGATCATCATCCATGGCTGATCAACTAGAGGATTTTTCAGCTGCTTCATCGCTCGTGGGGAAATAAATAATATCGATCGATCAATTGATATATAGAAGATGAGGGGATCAAACAACAACATCATCAAAACACTCCCTCTAGGTAAACAGGAAGAGGAGGGATAAGAAGCAGCTTCTCCTCACGCGATCAGGCAGCAGCAGCAGCAGCAGCAACAACCCGCGGATAGCCGGAGGTGTTGGCAAGTCAGTATCTATTAGGCATGTAGAGACATGTAGTGAAACATCCACCACCTCACCACTATGGTCTACACTGGTTCTACACTGAGTTCCGACCGTGAGAAAAGAAAAACGGCGCTTCGTGCCGTCTCTCATGAGATCACACCTAATATTATTCACACCGACTCTTGGCGGTTAGACCTGAATCGACTCGGAGCTTCCTTGGACCCAACTCTAAACACGACCCCATCGCTGGGCTGATTGGGTGCGGCCCAATGCAATAATCCACGGCCGGTCTGGTCCTACTTACTAGTTATCTCCCCCTCGGCAGGAACAAGACGGCCGCTTTCCGACAGGGAATCACCACACCAAGGTATCTGGATTGGATGGATAGAAAATGAATGAACTGAGGTGCATACAGCTAGTGGAGGTATGCCATTGTTCCCCCTCAATGCCATCCATGCCCAGAAGCTGGGCAAAGCAGCAGCTGCTCTCAATTGGGGCTCCAACCAAGGGTCACACACCCACCGAGAGCTGCTACAAAGTATGCTGATCCCATCCCATCATCTCCATCAATAATGCGGGGTGGCCCAACACCGATCATCACTCTTCCACTCTTCAAGAATGATCTTCTTGTCCCTGTATCCACTTCACCCAGTCTTTCCACTCTCATCATCTCATTGAGTCATCATTATTTCCTCTTCGCATGTCTCAATCGCCACCACCCATCAAATCATGTCATCACACTTATGCCATGCAGAGTTCACCAACCCAACACATCGTAGTCTAGACACTAAAATTGATTCTCATCGAGAGACGAACAAACTATCAATCTCATGCAGCCCTGCACCCGCGTTAGCTAATCCCATAGTTCATACAATAGCCCAATCTGCATGATGCTAACCTGCATCTGATGATCCACTGATGATCCGATGCTGTTGCAAAAGAGGGGCGGAGCTGCAGGGAAATCCGGAATGCACTTTTTCCAACCCTTTTTCTTTTTCTTTTCTTTGCTTATTATGCTATGCTAGACTATGCACCAAGTCTCTATTACTACGGAGTACTGACTAGACTACTTTGTATGTAGAATATGGGTCCAAGCGGCTCGGAGAATTCCATTGTGGCTTTGCCCTTTTTTTTTTCCTCCATTGTACACTCCTTACCTTGCCTGAACCTTTTTCCACACACTATAGTATGTGAGGGCTGAAAAGCTGCAGTAAGCACAGACTCAGTCATTGTCACTCATCACTTTTTTTCATCCCCGCAATGCAATAGTCCAAAGTTACTATGATATATAGTTTAATTGATTACTTTGTAAGTTCAGTCAGTCAGTCAGCCACTCTTCACATCACTGAAAGTTGGTTGCTTTCATGGGGGACTAGTAGATAAGCCGCTGATATTATTTCTCCGACGAAAATAGCAATGACATTAGTACTGAAGTCTTTTGTCCCGCCTGCGCTCCTACGCAATCACTGATCGCTCATGAGCACGCACTGCTAGACGGTATACGAACTATCACCCAAATCAATGACAACAAGCTATTACTTTCGAGGACATCATGTAGGTAAGCACTGCATACTGCATTTGATTTTTATCACACTTTGGCTAGAAATATTTCCTCACCCTATCCTCCATTGTGGTAGAGAGGCGCTGCTGTCAGAATTATCAGTTTATCATGCGAGTACGCCTATTGTTTAGTATATGTCAAATATAGTAGCTTCTAATCGGTCTACTTTCGCTCTTGCATGTTTATGTTTCAGTTGTGGTTCTTGGTTCTCTCTATGTCTACTTGTTTTGTCTCTTGTCAGATCACAGTACTATATAGGTATGATACGGTCTACTGCATGGGTATTTTCTGAATCCACGCCAAAGAAGAAGGACTGCTAAACGCACAAAAACAAATACCATAGAGATACAATGTTGGTCCTTATTTGCAGTAAGATATCTCCTTAACAAAATGAAATAATTGCACAAGCAAAGATTGTGTGAGTACAAGAAGATATTCCCAGGATATAGACCTGTCTACTATCTGACGTGAACCCTTAAATAAGGTATAGATCGGAACTGTGGGATAGACAACGGAGGCCATCGATACAAGCACGCTTGTTCCTATACTCAAGATTACTTCTTTTCCTCGCGCCCAACGCACACAAGTAGCCATGTTACCCGACTACGATCAAGACATGTCACATTCTCAGAATTGAGGAAGTGCAACTCGACGATTTCCTATAAGTTCGAACATGTTTGTAAAACCTTTTCACAAATTCCCACGTGCATGTAGGACTTCAAATGATTCCGCAGAAAGGGTCATGTTAGATGTCAAGATAATTATAGCTTTTGTATCCCCTCTCATTCTCAACTTCCATTAAAGAAGCATTCGTCTCATATGTTTCCACAATGGACAGAAAGAATTGAGTTGATTGATAAACACCTAATTTAAAGTTTCTACGACCACAATTTAGCTATGCAGTATCTACATCTCATGCTCCCCGCAGAGGGATGCTACATACAATGCATACATGCCACATCAACAATCGTTAAGGTAACACCAAATCAGCATCTCGCTTCTCTTCTTTCCAGTTTCTTGGAATTATCCCTGCACTTCTGATCCATAGACTCTATACTATGAAGACCCTGATTACCGCACAACCATCATTCCCTCCGTACTTATGACCTCCCAGATCCACCCCCAACCCTTAGCACCACCCTATATACCACGCACGGATCGGCTCCAACAAGGCAGCTCGCGCTACAAGCGGCTTCAACAAACGTAAAAGCGTGGTTCCTCAGCTATGCCTTGTGACAGATACGTGGTCCTTGCAGGTAAGATATGTGGGCATATGTCACTGACTAGTATCAAGACTTTTCTTGGGGTTCGGTCCGAGCCATTCCTCGCACCAGAGATTAGGAGGACATGTATATAGGTGGTTCTTGGCTTCGGAGAAGGCTGTTTCTGCATCTCCTAGGTGGCTGAGTAGTAACTCTGGACTAGGAATACCAACTGCTCTTCTATTACTGCTTGTAATGGCCTCCTGATCTTGGGGTTGGATTCTCATCCACTATATGCTGGTATAACATCATAAGATAGCTAGGGCCGCATAATAAAATGGCAATTACTTGAAATATTGCTTGTCGATTGTTGTTGAATATAAGAGACCCCACAGACAACTTTACCAGGATACTCCATGAACCTCCAACTAGAAATCTGCATCCACCAAGCCCACCCCATTCTTCAACAAACCCCATATCCCAAACAAGTTCTAACAACCTCATCCTAACCGTCAGACCTCCCTTCCCATTAGCCCCATACTCCTAAACAACCCCCCATCTACAACATATATACCAAAAGAATAATGCCCCGCAATGCCCCACCTGCATCAATACTGGCGTGATCAAATCCATCTGCGCGAACTGTCAATGCACAGGAGGCTGGTAGACATCCTCACGAACGATCTGCGAGCAGGGCGGAGGCACGAATATCATGAACACAGGGACGGTCTTTGTTCGAAGGGTAATTAGTATGGCTAAATAAAGTGCATGGCTATCCATGCACAATCTATTCCAATCATATAAACACTTCAGTGATAACCAGGAGTAGGTCACTCAGGACACGCATTGCTATGCCCACCCCCCATGGTCTGTGTCAAAAAGTGAAAGCAATATGAGCCGGGAAAGGGAAAGTATTTTTCTGCAGGATTCAATCTAACTATCTAAATAGTTCGATGGGTAAATAGTAGGAAGTAAGCCTCCGCTGAATAGAAGCTTTTTGAACAGGATTTCCCATTAACATGCAATATACACATCAAACATCTAATAATTAGTCGTTGCTTCTTCGGAGAAAGGGAATTGATATCCATTTATTGGTCTTATCGGAACCCTGGTTCTACTGTCACGACGAGGGCAGAGTGCAGACTGTACTAGACACCGTACTGGGATGAGGCATCCTTGATGCGGAGGATACTTTAGGTCATGTGTGCTGTTTCGGATGGCACAAGTTATATATTACAGTAGTCGTTCATTTCATTGAGGATACCTACTTGAAAAAAAGACAATAGATCAGTATAGGTCTCATATTCATGCCGCCCCTGTATCTAATTGAAATAAATCTAAAGAACAAGCCAGAAGGCAAGGCTCCATTCCCGACCTATTCGATGCGCTGGGCATTTCCAGGACAGAATAGCTTGTCCGCAGCACCAAGCATTGGTCAAGTACGAGTCCGCTTCTGTATAAGCCATGCCGCCCTTTTCCATGCCTGCACCTGCTTGAAGGACCGTCGACCATGGCCCCTCTTGCAATATTCTCTTCCGTGTATAATCGACAAACAGGGAGAACTCTCGTTTTCTCCGATTTATCATTCGCTAATTGCGTTCATGGATAAATTGATCCCACGCAAATCATCATCCCCAGCACTGCACCTACGAGGCAAAATGGAGCCTTCAGGCGGATAATGAAAGGTAGAGGAAGTGATTGTTCAGCCTCCTTTACGTTGTCCAGCAGCACCGGCCCCTGAAATTAGATGGTTAGTCGCCATGTTTCATCGAGCGAGTCCGTCTGTAGATGGATGGGTGGGTAGACTGTACCAATAGTTGCACTCGCGTTGCGCAGTTCGATCTTCTTGCGCTCCATCTCGAGCTATCCAAATGTCAGATGTATCCCGTCTCGTCGGTATAAGGCCAACTTACCACCATGCGTACTCGAGAAAGAGCAGCCGTGTCACCCGCCACGAGCGGCCTGCAGTCATCTGGGCGGTAAGGGGCCGCAATGGAGACAGCATCGGCTACAATAATCTTGGTTCCATCCCACCTGGCCGGCATTGTGCGACTGAATGCGTCAAAGAGATCCTGTGCCTCCTTGGTGACTCCCTTGCCTCGCCGTGCTTCACCTTCCTGCAGCTTGCCGACAGCAGCAGCCTCCCGCGCCTTCAGAGCACGAATATCAAGTGCGTGCAAAGGCGGCACGGCATCAGAGAAAGGAGCCCCATCGGTGCTGGACGGAGGCAGAGAGAGAACTTGGAAAGATTGTATGCGCGACACGGGGATGACATGGTAATCGCCGGTCTGTGACTTGCCTTCTTCGGCAATATTGATGGCAACGAGGTTCGTGATCGGACAGGCTGTGAACAGAGTCCCCTCAATGGTGGAGGCAACCGGAGATGTACTGATACGAACACTGTACAACACAACAACGTCAGTATGAACCTTGAAATCCCTGTAGGCATTCGTCCAGAGGCATTCTGGCAAAGGAATACAGGTGCTAGTGCTTGCTGCACAAATGGAAATTCTGCTCAGCAGTGCTATCATAGGTCGAGGCTTACCGTGCGCCAATTGCACGGCTCAGTGCCACCTCCAAAGGCACCATGGCACCAGCCATTCCCTGGCCTGCAGTTGCGCCAGACGATCCCTGTGCAGATGTTCTTACTCCCACACTGTGGCGCTTGTTATCTGCCATATGCTCGGGCAGGAGACAGTTGAACTATCCCACCAGGAGCAGTGCAGGACAGGATAGGCTCCACAGTCAGACAGTAACTGGGCGGTCTCTCTGCAGAGGAACAAAGACGGAGTCAGTCGAGAAAGTCCCAAAGACACGATTGCCCACGGAGAGGGCTAGTCAGGTCAAGCGCAGGTCGAAATGATCGATCGGAATGGGATTCCAGGCTGCGTGGAAGCCACGGTCGTTACCAGCAATGACGATGGCACTCGAGCGCGGATCAAGCAAAAGTGGGACGGGCGGGAACCGCAGCTTAGTCGTAGTTGGGTAAAGGAACGACGAGAAGTAAAAACATAAAATTTCCAGTAAAACAACAAACACAAGAAGTGAATACGACGCCAATAGAGTACAGCCAGCCAGGGAGGGAAAGCTCCTCAGCGTCCTGGCATGCAGTTGGGCTGAATGGTGGTGTGATTGTGCACCATTGGATTGACACGATGGCCGCCGGGAGGGAGTCACGACCTTCCCGTCGCCCAATCCGGTTTAGTCCAGGGCGGAGCAGCACCTCCAGCAATCACCAGTTGGCTGCTCTTTCACCAGTGAACTTGATCGGTGTTCTACCATCACAATAACTTCATTTTTTTCAAAACTACTCATTATAATTCATTTTACTGCAAGACTACAGTGGGGAAGACTTTTGTGAAAAGAGACGTAAGACTATTTTCATTCCATACGTTTTTCCCCTCACAAAAAAAAAGAAAAAAAGAAAAGAAAATAAACATCTAGATACATGTTAATAGAAATATAATAGAAATTCATTTCCTGTTTTGCTGGTCGTTTTGATCGTCATCATTCTTGTTTATGTGCTCAGGGGAGCCCGGCTAGCTAACTCTCCTGATTCTAGCCCAGCCTGTTCCCATGCTAGACCAGTGCGAGGCTCCACGTCCAGCGTTTTACATCGCATTTTCATTTAGGCAATGTAGGTGGACGCAGACACGTTACCACCGCGTCCAGTCCAGTTGACGTGGATGTCCTTGCCCTCAGGGTAGGTCTCGTTGGCGTGCTCAGGCTTGATGCGGAAGGTGTGGGCACCGAAGTAGTCACGCTGGGCCTGCAGCAGGTTGGCGGGGAGGTCGCGGGTGCGGTAGCCGTCGTAGAAGCTGAGGGCAGTGCTGAAAGCGGGGGTGGGGATACCCCAGAGAGCGCCCTTGCTGACGACGTTTCTCCAGCCGCTCTGGGCCTTCTTGATGGCGGTGTTGAAGAACTCGTCGAACAGGAGGTTCTCGAGGTCGGGGTTCTTGCGGTAAGCGTTGGTGATGTCCTTGAGGAAGACGGAGCGGATGATGCAACCACCACGCCACATGAGGGCAATGGAGGGCTTGTTCAGCTTCCAGCCGTACTCACGAGCAGCCTATAGTAACTTGTTAGTAACCGAAAAAGAGGGTAAAGTCTCTTCTCTGGGTCAGACTTACCTCCTGGATGAGCATGAAGCCCTGGGCGTAGGAGATGATCTTGGAGGCGTACAGGGCCTGCTCGAGGTCATCGATGAAAGCCTGCTTGTCACCGGTGAACTCGGGGGTAGGGCCGTCGAGAAGGCTGCTGGCACGGATACGCTCGTCCTTGAGGGCAGACAGGCAGCGAGAGAAGACAGCCTCGCCGATCAGAGTGACGGGCATGCCAAGGTCAAGGGCGTTGATGGCAGTCCACTTGCCGGTACCCTTCTGACCAGCCTTGTCGAGGATCTTCTCGACGAGGGGAGTGCCGTCGTTGTCGTTGAAGTAAAGGACGTCACGGGTGATCTCAATCAGGAAAGAGTCCAAAACACCCTTGTTCCACTTGGCGAACACATCGGCAATCTCCTTGGCGGGGAGACCCAGACCACGCTTGAGGATGTCGTAGGCCTATTAACAAGCGTGTTAGTTTCCATCTACATACATCCAATCGTTGTATGGTCTCAAGCTTACCTCGCAGATCAGCTGCATGTCACCGTACTCAATACCGTTGTGGACCATCTTGACGAAGTGACCAGCGCCCTCGTCACCAACCCAGTCGCAGCAGGCCTCGCCGTCGCTCTTGGCGGAGATGCTCTGGAAGACGTCCTTGATGTAGGGCCAGGCCTCCTCGTTACCACCGGGCATGAGAGAGGGGCCGTAACGGGCACCCTCCTCACCACCGGAGACACCGCTGCCGACGAAGCGGATGCCCTTCTCGGCGAGGTACTTGGTGCGGCGGTTGCTGTCGGGGAAGTGGGAGTTACCACCGTCAATGATGATATCACCCTTCTCAAGGTGGGGCAGGAGAGACTCGATGAACTGGTCAACGGGCTTTCCAGCCATGACCAGGAGCATGATACGACGGGGGCGCTTCAGCTTGGCGCAGAACTCCTCAACGGAGTGGGCACCGACGATGGGCTTGCCTAATAACCCAAAACGTTAGTTGATCTGGGGGCCAAGATGTAGCCAGACAGAGCAAACTTACCCTTGGCCTCATTCTCAAGGAAGCGGTCAACCTTGGAGGTTGTGCGGTTGTAAGCGCAAACAGTGAAGCCGTGGTCAGCAGCGTTAAGGATCAGGTTCTGACCCATAACGGCCAGACCGATAAGACCGAAATCAGCACTAGGCAAAGGACGCGCCGGAGCGCCGACATTGATGCCGGCGAGACGGGCGCTAAAGTCAGTTGCCAAATCCTCTGTCAATAGCTGGGCAGAAATGTGACAATTGGGGGGTGATGAGTGAAGCTGCGTTGCCTCTAACGCTACTATGACGTCGAGACGCAAACCCCACGAAGCTGGCGGTCCATTGCACCATCACCACTATTTAGTGGATGATGGGTCATGGAAGCCATAATTAAGCTGACAGTTCATTCCCAGCTGACTCTCACACAGCTGGATGTCTCTCGGCCCATTCATTGATGCGTCAAGAGGGTTACCAAGCTGCGGGGGAAAGCAAATGATTGAAGGACATGAAGGCTTCAAGGGAATAGGGGAAGGGAAGAGAGAACATTGGTAGCCGCAGGGTACTTACACAGCTTGGTCAGCCATGATGAAATAGTGGGGGGTATGAACTCTGGAGAAGGAGATATGGAAGAGGTGGAAGAATAGAGGGGGGAGGTGGTGGATATATGTACAGTCAGGAAGAACCAACTGCCTAGAGGATGATGGAGAAAAGGAGGAAGGTTTAGTTTGGAGGGGAAGGAAAGGGAAGAGAGGAAAGAGGCAGAGAAGCGAGCGAAAGGGAGAAGGCGTTCGAAGATGTCAGAGCAGGATTCGTTGCAACTGGACGGCTTACGGAGCAGCTCTTCCGTCATGGTGGGACGGAGGGCGGGGCAGCACCTGAGCAGGAGAGGAGCAGAGTCCTCCGGTGAACAAGACTACTAACCAAAGAGTACTACACCGGTGGGAGGAGTTTGGTACCGGGACATGCATGGAAGCCCGCGGATAGATAGATGCTTTTTGAGTAATATGGTTAGGTGGGTAACTATAGTACGAAGTAGTATCTATTGATGGCTGTCTGTCAGGCTTTCTTTGGATTGATCTGGTTTGGGTAATACAACAAGCATACTACTTACTGACTGACTGTCTACTGCTATAAAAACCCCCACCATTTCCAGTACCTTCATCGTAAAATACAACCCCAAAAATATCCCTTCTCTTCATGATGGAAGATTGTAGTTTCACCAACTCCTTACTGATGACAAACACCACTTTACTAGACTCCAATTGCCAATTGATTCCTTTGGGGGGAGAATGTTCGGAGATGACGGCGTCGCCAGGAGCTTTGAAAGATGGCGGGGCATGGAGGGGCACCACCGGCCGCAGCAAAATACGCCCGTAACGCAAGAAAAAAAGCCCGCGCTTCCCTCATTCCTACATCGGCCCAGCAAAGAAAAAAAAGGGACCGAAATTCCCAGACTTCCCAGAACACGTTCGGTGAAGCACCTTCGGAGACGGATAAATTGGATTCTCCTCCACTCTTCCCCATCTTGTCTAACTACGAACAGTAATTCACTGTTGGTTCAGACTGTGGTTCCTCCATCACCTCATCCCAGTGTATCAATGCTGAATGCCTACTAGTCTATCGGGTACGGCATCGGACTTCCACCTGTAGTGTCATAGTACTATGTTCTGCTTTTCGATTGCCCTTCGGTATCCCAGCCATCGGAATTCGTTGGGTAACTAGACCCCACGGAGGAGAAATCCATAAGCCGGAGAAACTGGCCGCTATTTCCGGGGGCTTCTTATCTTCATCCCGCACTTGTTCGTTCTCCTCTCGTGATGGAATTGGCACGATGCACTCCTATAGGGACGATCCTCCCCCCGGCGGTCGGCTACTGCATTTCCCAAAAGAGATTAGGGTGGGGGTTGCATCACATGTGGGAAATCTGTTGGGGCTCAGAGTTGCGCTTGGCTGGCTGACTCAGAAGGTCAGCCTGGCCGGCGACTGTGCACGTGATGTGATTTTTTAACTTGAATCACGTGATCTAGAAAATGCCCGGTTTGCATCGAACGGGAGGCGAGAAAAACCATTCATGCGGTCTTTTCTCTCTCCTGCCGCGCTGGACTTCATCCGTCATCTGGGCCACCAAACTTGCCCAACCCGAACCTTCCAACAGCACACGGTTCGCCATTACTTGATACACGACCCATCTGACCACCAGCACCGCTGTCGCTTCTTCACACTCTACAGCAAGGACTTGTTAGATATTCCACCACCGCTTCCCCTCCTCTCTACTCACCTGTCTCTGTACTAGTACAAGGAAAGATCTAGAAAGGCTCGTCACTAGGCCTTTTTTCATCAAGATTCGGAACCTTTTTCAGGCGTGACGTCTGGCGTATGACTGCTGCGTCAGTCAAACCCTGAAGGTACGTGTCTGCTGCTAGTTTGCACACGGCGCATCACATCATCCACCACTTCTCTCTATACTATATATCGGACTCTCCGTTCATCATGTCCTTTCCGCCACCTCCAGGTCTCAGACAAGCCCCGTCGTCTCTTCCTCCCCGGCCACCGGCAACAGCAAGCGGTGCCTCACCATCTACCTTTCAACCTGCATATTCGGCGGCACCGTCTGGTGCAAGCAGCAGCTATGGCGGAAACGGGTCTCGGCCGGGCTACAGCGCCATCACAGCATTCCAGCCTCGCTCGGTAGCTTCTAGCCAACCTTACCGTACCAGCAGCCCCGTCGTGTCCGCTCCGCCAACTACATCTAGTGGATATTCGACACCGACCACGGGCAGTTACGGTGGCTACTACCCTCAGGCGCAAGCGTCATACCAAAGCGGTCCTTCTTACTACGGAGCCGCCCAATACAATGAAAACACATACGGTCCGTCTGTACCGCGGATTCAAAACCCCTTCACGCCCGCAGGGGGGGATCAGTCAGGCGCCTATGGCATGCGGGGGAGGAACTTTGGCCGGAATGAATCGGGGCTGGACCCTGAAACGGAAGCCCAGATTGCACAGTGGCAGAGTGCCTACGTAAACAAGGAGGAGATGCCCGTAGCCGGCAAGGTTCCTGGTCGCCCGGGTGTTAACCCGGGTGTTTCTGGTCCCACTTCTGGTGCAAATACCCCATCCGGATCCAATACAGCGGCTAACACGCCAGCACCCACCGTGGGTAACCCGGAGCCTGCACCGAAGACTGTGGTTCGTGCCGGAGGTGGTCAGACCTGGTCCGATTCGACCCTACTCGAGTGGGATCCCGCACATTTTCGCTTGTTTGTAGGCAATCTGGCTGGTGAGGTCACGGACGATTCGCTACTCAAGGCATTCTCCAAGTATACCTCTGTTCAAAAGGCTCGAGTAATCCGTGACAAACGTACCCAGAAGAGTAAAGGCTACGGATTCGTCAGTTTCAGCGACGGCGACGATTATTTCAAGGCTGCGAGAGAGATGCAGGGCAAGTACATTGGCTCGCATCCGGTTCTGCTCCGACGAGCCACCACAGAGGTCCGTCCCGTGTCCAACACGAAAAATGGGAAGAAGCATGGTGGTGGAGGCGGTTCGGGTGGTGGCTCCGGCAGTGGTAAGGTCAAGCACGATGGAGTCAAAAAGCACGGAAAGACCAAGGGAGGACTCAAGATTATTGGATGAAGGGAGGCATGCTGTATGTCCTCGAAGATAAATATTTTGACAATCGGATAAATATAATGCATAAAGTTACGTCTACAGTGATAGAATTAACAGGGAGCAGCGGGATACCGACGCCTTGAATTACTATTCGCATCCTTCCAAGGTCGTCATACAGCAGTCACATATCGGTTACAGAAGTTACTGCGCAATTGAACACGTTCATCTGCTAAAGCCTTAGGTGGACTAAAACTACAGAGTCCTTGTATTGTGACCACACAAATTTCAAATATATTACTTAATAAATCTTTTAAGATCACACTAGATATATCGTCTGGTAGGTCTGTACTTGAACCAGGACTTCCGGATGAACCTCCATCGGCTCCATTTCACTGAGACGGTCATTGTCGATGATAGTTCCATTGGCGACAACAATCAAACATGCCCGTGCTCTTGTCAGGGTGACGTTCGTGCGACGATTATCTGCAGCGAAGCCTAAATGAGACTTTGTTTCTGAGTAAACGGCCCAATGCAATGTAACGATATGGGTCTGATTCCTGACCCTGTATATGATTAACAGTGGCAACTTTGATCATATCCTCCCAAGCTATATTGAGCCTTCCCGATAACTTCGTCATTCGACGAAGGTGCTCTTTCTTCTGGTCAGAGTACGTTGTGATGATAATAATATCTTGTTTCTTTTAGTGCATCACGCCTGGTAAGAAACTCCACTGGCTCCATAACCACGTAAACATTGGCAATGGTCTTGAACGGTCCCTCTCGTTAATCACGGTCTGCACGTCTGCTTACTTTCCACAATCGCTCTGTCGGGTTGAGCTGGTCGGAGTCAGCTTTTGAAACAGACGTGGAAGCTTCGAAGATTCTGAGAAGGCTGGCTTTGCTGAAGGAGGCATGAACTTTCCAGTCTAAAGGATTATGGCTTGGACATATTGACGCAGGGCAAGGATCAGCCCAGAAAAGTATATGTCAGGCGAGCCCTAGCCAACCTCCAACATCGGGCGTGGTCGACGAAATATCAATAATTCTATATTCTTCGACGGGTCTAGACACCGGGAATCGAATTATATCTACTCTTCAGACCAGTGTAGTATCGTCGATAGTCTGACTATCGTAAAGAGTAGAGAATACAGTTTCGTTGGATGCCGGGCAGGACGATTTGTGGTGGCGATAGTCGACAGAAGGAGACCCAGTTGTACTGGTTAAATCATCGACCATGGTATCATTCTTGATGTTATAGATCCGCAGTGAATCTTGCATGTTTGTTTGTGTTGGAGAGCAATGGACGCCAGTGTAACAGGTTTCTTTTTTTTGTCGGTGATAGAGGTAAGGACCGATGTACTAAATGTTAGGATAGCACCCGGCAATACTGATGTTGCTTGTATACTAGGTCACGACATGGTATGAAGTCGGTCTGTCCAGAAGGAAGTAAAGAGAGGATCATATATTTATATAGAGAGTAGTATATAGTATAGAGGGAAAGAGAGAAGAAGAGAGATGAGACGAAGCAGTCCAGCCGTAAATAGAAAGAGATAAGCGAGTGAATGAATAAAGACATTAATAGAGACTGGAGAACGCCCCTTCTTATTCATCAGGGTAGAACAATCACAGTATGTGCAGGAATGGTTTCGAATCACCTCTAGCGCTTAGTAAAGGTCCATATGGTATATGCAGGGAATACTGGTATCAAAACCCGCTCCCATAGCGCTTCATAAGTGAATTCTCCAGATACTGCCTGACAGAGCTTGCCAGAAGAATCAGGGAACTGCCGGAGACTAGAAGGGAAGAAACCGAGAATGCTGTAAGAGAGTCGGTAGTATATAGGACGGAAGATGACGGGTTAGAGAAGGAACTTGCCGGGCACATGTACTGCCATCACAGCTACTACATGAGTGGCAGCTCTTCTGTTGTAGTAAGTTCCTCTCCTTTAATCTACACATATCTAAAGTCTTTAAATATCTCCCCGGCAAATCAGCACTCACACTCCTGATGGATACAGTTGAAATTGTCTTTCTTTCTGCCGACGTCCCGAGAAGTTTAGCTGCTAAGGCAAACAGAGTCTTTTATTTCTGGTATTTACCACTTATACTACTGTGATATATGTTTATTCTCAACTATGAAGGAGACAGAATTGCGGAGAGCAGCATATATAGTGGACCGGTTGTTCATCAATGGCTACTACTGTATATACCTAGCCAGCAGTAACAAGAAAAATAGGAACATGGAAAGAAAAGGAAGCATATACATATACCATAAAACACCAATCCAATCCATCAACTCCGAGAATAAGTAACCAAACAGTCAGATCCCGTCCGACGCAGACAAAATAACGCTTTTCACAGCTTGTATATGAACCGGACACACATGGCGTATAAACAATCAAACAATCAGCAATGCATGTGCGTAAGAACCCCCAGACCCAAAACAATTGGGGAACAAAAATAATAATCATGCAATATCCCCAATGCAAGGATGCATATATCCCTTATCAGGCAGCATTATGTCTCGTAAACAGTACATCGTTATAGTGCGTAATAATAGCTCGACATTGATTTCTTTAAGCCGTTAAGTCGTCGAATCGATCAAACAATCGTTAGTCTCGTGGATTTCGTGACAGTAGTGCTTCTATGAAAGCAGAAGGAAGCTGGGCCACTTTTCATTCGGAGTTTAGCCCTCAGCTTCACCACCGCTTTCCTCGTCAACTGCGCGTTTCCGGGAGTGTGCGATGCGGTTCTTCATTGTATGGATGAAGTAACCGGCGATGGCGAGGATGATGAATAGGACGATGATGATGACGGCGATGGCAATGTTTTCTTTCATTTTGTCTTTTTCTTTCCTGTATGTTTTGGTTGTGATAGGTCTCTTTCAAAATGGGAGAATAAAGTGTCGAAAAGACGTGGTTTCAACTGTTCCAACAGAAATGAAAAGAGGTGGGTTTTGTTGCGGTGGTGGTGGTGGAGATGCAGGTATAGATCGCAATCGATAAGATATGGATATGGATAGCCGATCGGAATGTAGATAGTAAACAATGGGTGTGGAATTCCACACTGACAGAGCTTGTATATAAAAAACCCTGAACAACCCCAATTCAGGTAGCACGGGGAATGGGGAAGAAAGGGAAGAATGAAAAGGCACGCAGCTCCCGATTATAAAAGGGGAATTGGCGTGGACGTGGACGTGGCCCAGCCATGTTGATTTTTGCTCCCCCTGTTGCGGGTGGCTGGGGATAAGAAAGGATCCATGATTGCTGAGCTTATTGGACGCTAAGAGCGTTAGTGCGCGGGTTGGGCGCAGTGGAGTGATGCTTGCTTGTTCTGCCGTCTGGTGCCGCCTTGGGGGTTGTTAAGAATAGCTTCATCATGCTGGAGTTTGCTTGATCGTGATCCTGGAGATGGTGAAAAACAGCTTCTAAACAGCTAGTGTATGTTACACTGGGTGATGTCAGCAGACTGTCTCATTGACATGGAATTGAAACATCAAGTGATGCCCTTTGAAAGACTCAGATCCACTCCTCATGTCTTCATGTTCAATCAAGCCAGTTTATACTATGATATAGTCTCCAACCAGAATGTACTAACTACTTAGCAAAGTAAGGAGACGATACAGGCAGCAGATTTACTATGCAATACCGCCGAAAAGCAAGCATCATGTCTACTAGTAGTTTATACCTCCCTTGGTTCTGAACAACATGTCAGCCATCATCCGGGTAAGAAACCAACCCAATCTCAGCAGCAGACCTAACAGCAAGCACACACACTCAGCCTAGCTTACCACTCTAAGCAACCCCTCACTTCTTCGTCTCCACCACCTCCCCAATCATAGCAATACTCAACATCTTCCGATCAAAGAACCGCTCCTCATCTTCTGCAATCTGCGCCGCCGCCTCCGGAGCCGTCACCTTGGCCATGAAAGCTTGGAAAGAAGGCTGATCAGCAAAGGTCAACTCCGCTGTCGTATCAAAGTCAAAGTCCGACTGCTGGCCCAGAAGGAGAGTCGCCGGGGTTGTGGCGTTGCGGGCCGTCGCCCCAGCAGGTGGGGAGTCGACGGTCGTGCGAGCGATATAAGTCCGGCGGTGGGAGAGGGGGAAGTCTTCGCCGGAAATATGTCTCACAAGATCGATGTGGGCTTCGTAGCGCTCTCGGAACGTGGATAGGGAGAGGCCGGGCTTGCGGTAGCCGTAGATGAAGACGCGGACGGTCATTTTAGTAGGAGGGTTTGGATAGTTATATTACGGAGTAGGAAATGAAAATGTGACCAAGGGGGTGTGTGGTTCTGATGCAGTTTTGAGGGGTAATATGTGCTATGTACCTGGGTTTGGGTACATGAACTGGATTGTAGGTGGGGTTATCAGGCACGGACTATATCGGAAGTTGGTGCATACCAAGTGCTGTCTCTTGGATTGTTATGACTGGTAGAGTGGTGTAGTGCTTAAGGCGGGTCATTTAATTTCTTTCTGGGGTTGGATAAAACGATATCGAAGGGGCAGAAAAGTGAATAAATCATACTAGAGACTGGCGCATTCGGAGAGAGATGAATTACAACTCAAGATGTGTGAGGGTAAATGGATATCTCGCTATAGTGATGGTTGCTGCAGGCAAGGGTACATAGTGCCACAACTACAGATGCGGAGATATACGGGTCGACGGAAAGGGTATAGAGATCAAAATATTCATAATGTCCCCAAATTAGCCAAAAACAGAGAGGGAAGGCCAAAAAATATATATGGAGGATATGTCAGGGAGAGAAAAAGAATGACCAGTCTGGGGCTCGATCCCAGGACCTTATCGGTGTTAACGATACGTGATAACCAACTACACCAACCAGCCATTGTTGTATATCTGACGCAATATTTGAGTATATGAGCTTCCGACTGCTTTACTCGCTGCCTGACACACGCTAGAAAACCAAACGCGCTAACTCAAGGCTACCAATGAAACCCTCCTACTCAGTAGTCACATCAAACAAAGAGCGCCTCGAGAATGACTGTTGTAATTAAAATTATGATCTGCGGTAGCCG